ACATCCGTGACGGCCCGGGCTCGGCCCGCCGACCAAGGGAAGCGTGGGCCGCTGCAAGCAACGAGCTCCACCGGCCCGCCAGGAAGTCGGAGACTTTTTGTTGCAAGCTTACCTTTCCCACTGCCCCTGTATCCGCGCAGCGCGCAAACAGCAGGCGGGGCGCTAGCAGGAACAGCTTCCACGCCTGCAAGCGTCTCTGCGCTGTCCGCGGGTCTTTCACAGCCTGCAGAGCATACACCAAGGCGGCGGGATGCTGCGCAAGGTCGGCACCGGCGTTGCAAACTCCTCAGCCAAATTGACGTCGCCCAACCAAATCCAAGAAGATCCGTCGCTCGCCGCCGGCGGCGGCGGAGTCGGAGCACGAGAAGTCACAATGGAGTCGTCGCACTGTGCGCCCTCATCTTGCGCGACCGACGCGCCCGACCCGTGTGGAGCCGCCGCGGCCGTGGGCCAGCGTGGGGGCTCCGTGGGAGGCTCGGCTGCGGGCGAGCCGGCGCGCAAGCCTGGGACCGTCCGCGCTGCACGCGCCGGTGCTCGCACGGTGGCTAGTGGGCGCGGGCTGGAAGGCTACGCCATCCCTGAATCGTCGCGGAAACTGCGGGACAGCCTCTCAGGTGGTGCCCACCGAACACCTGCAGGCAAACTTCCTGCACCAAGGCGTGCAAACAGCCATGTTAAGCCCGAACCGCCAAGGCGAGGTGGACGTGCGCACCAACCGCTTCCCCGGACAGCGCGCGCTGGACCGCGCCGGCATCTTGCGCGGCGTCTCCCGCTGCGTCCCGCGCAGCGCTGACGAGCTGCATGGTTTCGGTCAGCACAACCGGGCTCACGGGCGGCGACGCGTGCGACGGTCTGCCCGCCAGCTGTCAGCGGCCTCGGGGCGCAACAGTCGCGCAGCCTGGTGCAGCAGGGGGACGTAAAGCCACGAGTTGGCAGCTGCAGTTGGTTTGATCCGGCAGCTTGCAAGACTCGGGTCAGGGCCGCACCGGTGGGCCTTCACGGTGCTTGCGGTGGTGTGCGCTCTTGGCGGCGGCTGCCCTAACAGAGGGTGGTTTCGAGGACAGATTTGGCGTGGCAAAAAATAAATTGCCCCAGACAGACAGTTGCTGCGGAAAAAGGCGCGCGGAAAAAAAAAGGACTTATGATAACTATCAAATAATTAGGAAAGCAACCTGAAGCTCATTAATTGGGAGCATTTCATACGGGAATTCCGCGATTTTTTGAGCAACGCTCTGATGGAGTCTGAAGTCGCGTCTCTGGCCATGCCCCTTGTCAGGTTTCTCGTAACAGCGTCTCCTGTCACGTGCGGCGGGAGCCACCGCTGGTGCGCGTGTGGTGGGCTAGCCTCACCGTATTGCACTACAAGCCGAAGGGGGGAACAAGGGGACTTGCTGATGCCCGCTTTGTTTGTACCTCGCCACCCAGCCGGAAAGGGTTCGCTTTGTGTACCACGCAGTAGCCCGATGTTTGTGGGAACACGCTCGCACTTCTTTAAACCTGGCCGCGCCCCAGGGTCTCGCTGCCGGCGTGGACTTTGTCCGGCGATGGTGTTGCTTGCCGCCGCAGCATCCCGGCCTACGCCGCTAGTTTGCTGGTTGCGCCTGCGCCGTCCACTGCCAACGTTGACTCCGCCATGCATCGGCGACATCCTGAGTGCGCACGCTGGGCCTCCGCCGGGTGCCAGCCGGTTCCGGTACGGCCGTGGGAGAAAAAGCTGCTTTTTCAAAAAACAGCTCGCCAAGCTTCCCGTGCCCGGAAGCACCACATAAGCAAAGCGCCCGGAGGCGAACCCCTTCAGCATGCCCCCCCGCACCGACATTTGCTGCGGAAAAAAAACGCAGGAGGAGAAAAAAAAATGAAAACTCGAGATTCATTGTCCCACTGACATGGTCGTACGCCCCACGCCGTCCACGGACAGTATGGTTGCTTTCGGGCACAAGCCTGCGCAGGAAGTCTCCCACCAGAAGCCCCGCGCTCCAGACTGCCGCTCGGGCCAGGAGTGCGGCGACTCGCACCAAGACATCGGCAGCCTCGGCGCGACCGCTTGCGCTCCGATTTGTTTTGTCCACGCGTGACGCCGCCCACAGCGCGCTGCAATTGATTTCCGAAGCTGAGGGGGGGGAACAGGATAGAGGATTCTACGCCCGTTCTTGTCCTGGAAAATTTATCATTTCCGAGAGAGCGTCTGCGCAGCACGGATGGGTATGCAGCAGGGGGCGCCCCTCCCATTCGTGTTACCCTGCCAGCCACTGCTTCTCCCAGTAGTGCTGAGCACAAAAACCCTGCCGCCTGGCCCGCGGAAGTGCCAGCGCAGCAGCCGCAGCAGCCACACCAACCATCACCGTCACTGCCGGCTCCGCAGCATGTTTGCCGCAGAACCTGCCGAACGGCCCATGCAATTGCGGGACGTTCCGGTGGTCCTTTCCCCACCTTCTGTTCGTTTGGGACTGCCCCGGCAGCGGCCAGCGCGTGGTTCGTTGTCGCGCCGCCTCCCTTGTGCGGGCGCCGCCCGCCGACCCACAGCTGGATCTTCGTCCTTGGTTGTTGGCTCGCCTCTCACACGGATGTCTGACACTGCGGACGCCGCCATCGATGTCGCCTGTGCGCCCGAACCCCGAGTTGCAGGAGCCACCCTGCGCAGCACTGCTATCCGAGCGGCCCTGCTCCCCCGCGTGTTTTGCCGCCTTCCGGGCCAGCGTGTGCTATGCACACTTGATTGGCGCGACCGCGTCTCCGCTTTCAATGCCGGCCGCTGGGCGCACCTTCTTGCCCAAGTTTCTGGCCGGTGACGTCTTCGGCCGGCGCGAGCAACTTCCCGTGTCCACTGGGATCACTGTCGGCCGCAGCGATGGCAACAACACAAGCTGGCCACGCAGCGCTTCAAGGTCTGCAGGCAGGCGGGGCACACTTCAGGGCATAACTCGAAAGCCCGGAGTCACCTCCCGACTCGGGAGACATGAGGGCCTCCTGCCTGGCAACCAGCGGAGCTCCGGCGAAGAAGGAACAAATTCCGGTCCGGCCGACGCGCCCTCCGCGCGCCGGGTGTCAGCCAGGGGGACAGAAGAGCTGTTAAAGCTGGCCTCCGCCCCGGCAGCAGTTAGGAGACTTTTGTCGACAACTTCCAACCAGCACACCGAGGCGATCAACGGCCAATGGCCCAAGCCCACACAGAGCAACGCCCAGCAACCACAAGCTGCGCAGACCGAGCACTCCATCTCGGCAAGATAGCTGGCCGAACTCCGTGACCCTTCTCGCCGCCCAGCGGCGCCTTACGGAGCCTGCCACGTTGCGTCGGGACGCTTTCTTGGCAAACCGCCGCAGAGCAGTTGTCTCAAGGTTGCCCAGCTCGCTGCTCGGTTCGCTCGAGCCCCGCGCGCAGCGGCCGTTCCGCGTTGTGATTGGTTCAAGTGAGGATGTACTCTTGCTAACTGCCGATTGACACGACAATAGTATGGAAGTTCTGCAGCGGCGAATGTGATGAAAGAAACTCACAAATGGGCAAGGAAAAAGTGCGAAACTGCCGCTGTGCAGCACTGGAGAGCGCGTGAACCCAAACGTCTATCCATGGCACCGCTCCCGCTGCAGCGAGCAACAGATTCCAGCTCTACTTAAGCATGGCCTTGTTCAAGTTCTATGGCAGCGCGCTCACGCGGCACGCCTGCAACAGAACTATGCCGCACGCGCTGCCACAGAACTATATTCTATCCACAGTCACCATGCCCCAGTGCCTGACTTTTTGGACTGCGCTAAGTCGCTCTGTTAGCACACAGCTATGTCGGAGGTTTCATGCCTCCCTTCGGTTTCGCAGACGTCCGCTCGGCTTGACTGGGTTCCCGAATGGAGTGTCTCGTCTGTTTCTTGACACACCGCTTTTGTGCGGAAGGTGTGGGGCATATTTTGTGGCTGAAGCTTGACTGGCTGCCTGGCCTTGGAGACTTGCGTGTGCCTGGGGAACCCATTGCGTCCACGTGCTGCACCGCTTGGGAGGCGCTGCCCGTCCGCGGTCGAAGTCGCGGCCTGGCGTCGCTCGCTGGAATCGACGATCCACCTCACCGACGCATGTGGTCAAACAAGCTGCATGTGGAAAGTGTCTTGCTTGCAGAACACGCAATTCTATCCACTCTCATTACGCTCGCATTGGTGATTGGTGGTCGTGACGAATGACACCAGTCCTGATGAAGAAGCATGCGCTCGGGATAAAAATGTGCCGGCAAAGTTCACCATTCCGACAGTTGGATCGAGTGCATCCTCGTGTTAAAAGCGCGAACAAAACGCGCACTCAGCCCATGTTTCGGGATCACTTGTTGCTTCCCACTGTGCTCCAGGGCTCACTGATGCTATCTTGCTTTGCGAAGCAGTGCTGTCCATCCAAATGTCCTTTTGCGCGGTCGGATACTCAACACAGGTCGAGCCTGCCTATGTACAGTGAAAGCGCCTATGTACAGAATGTCTAATTGTCCTAGCATGTCAGGACTCCACCGAGCTTGTCTGCGCGGTGCAATTGTTCACGCAGCTGGGCAGGCACACACGAGCAACAAACAAAGAAACCGATTCTTCCAGTAAATTCCTGCATGTTCTCCACAAAGAAACTACCGGCAATACATGAACCATCCACAAAACCAATCAACCAGTTCAGGTGTGCAGTCTCTACTCCTCACAATGGGATGCCTTCTTGAGACGGAACCTGTCCTAGTTCTGCTCTCACCGTTTCTCCCTCTGACTTGGCAACGCAAAGAAATACATCCTCATGACCTCTCGCCTGAGTCAAAACCGCAGGCCTCCTGCACCAGCTGCTGAGCCTGTGAGGTGCAAGCTCCGCTCTACGCGGCATGCAAAGCATCTCTGCATTCAAGGCTAAAGCTGCCTGAACACACGCAGGTGGCAGTGGTGCATCTGGTCGGAGCTGTGTCCAACGAGACAGAAGCGCCTGCCAGCTTCAGGCAAGCAAGGTTGAGTTACGCAGAGCCATTGCCTGCAAAGCTTGGCTTCTTCTCATCTCTTCAGACAAGACTTCCTGATTTCGGCGCTCCTGCAAAAACAGCGGTGCAGTGTGTGTGGAGTGCGTTCCCATGTCCAACCTCAGCAGCTGTAGCTCTCAAAACATCGGCCAAACGTATTCGAAGGGCTTCAGCACTGGTAGCTTGCCACTGAAGCTCCTCCAAAAGGCAGCAGCTTAATATTCATGACATCAGCATAGACTGCATGTGATTTCTCTGGCACGCATGAGACTCAACTCTGCTCTTGCCTCGTTTGCAGCATCAAGGGAGCGCTTGGTGGTATCAAACTGCAGCGAAATTCGCTCCAACCTTGGCGAATGGAAAACGGAAAACTGCGACGGACCCCATAGGCTTTCACTCGGCTCACTTGGCGCTCGAATGAGTGCTGGACTGTCCTGCCCGAATGTCCAGCTCATCGCGCCTGGCACCCATACCGTGCCCTGTGCCCACTCTCTCAGCAATACTGAAAAGATCTGAAAAGGCGTTGCCGAGTTTTGCTTTTTGCTCTCAAGCTGTGCGAAAGAGAAACGAGCGCGCCAAGTTCTCATCTCCCCCTGCTGCTTCGAGTGCCAAATGGCACGTGCTGGGCTCAAAACCCAAAGCGGCCAAGCGAGCCGCAGCATCCTCAAAAAGCGCAGAACTCAGTCCCAGCAGCCGGACATCCGATCCAAACAACGGAGCTCCCTTGACCCGCCAGGCTGGTCTTTCGACTTCAGTTGAATCCTGCTGTCCAAGAGGTTCCACAGGACCTGCATCAGGCGTCTCCGAGTCAGTGTTGCTTTTTGGCAAGTCAGCCGGTTGGTCAGGCTGCTGATCCGCCTGTTGGCCAGCTTGATCCGCAAACATGTCCAGCTCGTTGTCTTTTGCGGAGCGATAAATTACACGCCCCTCAGGTGCCGGAGGAAGAGGTAGGAACTCTTGATCTGGTCCAAGACCACCCCAAATTCCATGTTCTTCCGAAGTGGTATGTTGCGTGGACCGCCTTGCAGCGCGCAGCGCAGCTGCTGTCTTTGGCCTCTTTCTCTGGATCCATCGTTCCCCAGCACAAGCCGCACAGCGCTCTGCTGATGCCTCGTTAAGGAGCGTGCAAGCCGGACAGGCCCAGGCTTCAGTTTCATTGCGATCGCTTCGATCGCTTCGATCGCTTCGCTCATGGCTTGCCTCGCGGGGAAGCACGACCACAACAGGGCCGGTAGAGTTTCGAGGGCTTTTGCAGGCGGCACACTTTGTGACCTCTGGCTCATTCAGCAAAGTGCACGCCGGGCAAGGCCATTCCGGCTCCCATGCGAGATCCGCATCCAGGTGAGGCTCCATGGCTCCAACTTCCATAAGTACGAATGCTTGTTTTATTTGACGCTCTGAATCATTCAGCCGTGCCTTCACCTTCGCCGATGCTTCGATTAAATAGATGTTTGCGTGTGTACATATATGTATATATATATATATATATATGTCTGTGTGTGTGTGTCTGTGTGTGTGTGTCCGTGTTTGGCTGAGCATGTCAGAATCAGATGCCAAGTGCCAAAGGCCATACAGATATCATGCTTTTGCCCACACAACCCATGCCAAAGAGACCATGCACAGCGCTGCGACCAGTCGGGCAGTTGTCTCGTCGAAGCCAACACCTCCAAAACAAGTGTGAAATCTTGGTAGGTGATACTGCGCAAAATACACGGCCTCATTGCAGGCTGCAACTTTGGCTTGCACAGCCTGGAAAAAAGTGTGAGCTACTCAGTCTAGCTGGCATTGGGCCCCTGGCGTCAAGAGGTAGTATCTCGTCAGTAGGCTGGCCCCTCAGAGCATGCCTACAATCTAAGCTGATATGTTCTAGAATCTCACCACCTTCTCAGTTCATCAACTGAGGTGCTGGCTGCAACAGAGTAAATACATGGAGAGTGTCCAGGTCGGCAGACCGAAGTTCGCAGGCCTGTTTTGCGTTTGAATGAATTGCGACCAGCCATGCTGCTGCAATGCCAATGCTGCAAGACTCCAAGACTCCAAGACTCCAAGACTCCAAGACTTTGCCTGAATGTTTTGCTCCGTTTCAAGGGCATTCTCCTGCGCGCACCGGCCGAAGCAGACAAGTGGCTCAAGTGCGGCGCACCTCCGCAGTTTGCACCGCTTCACACAGAGAGGCATGGCGATCACTCAAGGCCTCAGCCAAGGTCCACTTCTTGGAGCCCGGAGCCTGTAAGCAACGGACCTGAAATGCGCGCTCTGCAGCTTTGAGAGCGGTTGGATTGACACCTGAAGCCACCATCACGATTTTCAGGAACACCTTTCTCTGCGGGGTGAAGCCTGGTCTCTCGGAAGAAGATGCACCATTCGTCCTTTCAGTCAACACAAAGGGCATAAAGAAGAATCTTACGCAAAGGGGAACTGTGAAACACGTACGCAAAGCTTGTCAACAAATGCCAAGGCGCGAGTTCGATGGCACTGGCGAAGACTTGGCAGCGGGCAATGAGGTGCAAAAAAACATGTGACTCCACAGTCATCTATTTCAGCATGCTCAATGAATCCAATTGCAAGCAACCGGTGTCCATTTAAAAAGAAAGAGAGCCACTTGCTAGCGTCACTGAAAGGAAAGCCGCTTAAGCTGCTGGCCTCCTCAGAAATAGAAGCCATCACAGAGCCTGAAACAAGCTCTCAAGAAGTTTGGCACTAGAAATGAAGAGCCGTAACTGCCGCATGTGAGTGCACAGCTTGTTTTCAAGGCTTGGAAATGCTGGCCTGCATGTGGCCGTCTGGACCGATACTCGGAAGAAGGCACTGTGTACTCTTGCAACTTCAGTGAAAGGAACCTAGCAACATCACATCAAGCCAAGCAGCAAATATGCTACTGATGGAGGGGAAAACAGCCGTTTACCGCCGCGTTTGTTCTGCATGGCTTGCTTGCCTGATGCTGTCATCGCGCTTCTCGCACTGCGCTTGCCAATAGCTCCCTGCCAAACGCCCGTTGTCCTGCGTGATATGGTAGGCACAGATCCGTGCTGCCTTAAATGACTAAAGCTGCAGAAATGCCGGGCTCAGTCCTCATGGAAGACAAGTAGTGCTCCCAAACAGTCAGCATGGCCTTTGGCAGTGCATGTCACACGGGCCCGGTCCTGCATCCGGGCACATAATAGCAGCGCTGATTCAAAACAAAAAGCACAACCCCACAAGGCCAGGGCACGCACCTCCAACCACAGCCCAGTGAACCCACATCTCTGCGCATCCTGCCCCTTGATACGCGACCCTGGCTGCCTTCGAACAAAGCACCATAATCGTAAATCACCTCACCAGTTCTCCGGAAACAATTTGTCAGCCTCGGAAATGCAAACCTGTCCTCCAACTCGGCCGTCATTTCAGCAATCCGCCGCGCATAGAACTGCGGGGTTGCAATAGAGGTAGCATCAATAGAGGCAGCATTACACTAGAAGACACAACAAGCTTGGCCTCGCGAGTGCTCCGTAGTTCCTCTCTTAGCTGCGCATGATCATCCTGTCAGTTGAACGGTTGCAACTGCTTATTTTGCGGCGGGAGACCATGCAAGAGTCGCCCGGACTCGGGACTATATTTGCCTATAGCACTATCTCCAGCAGTGCAGCGGAGGCAGCTGCATGAATCAATTACATACAGTGGAAACGAAGAAAGAAGAGTCATGTCTCATGCCCAGTCTCCTCAATCTGCATCAACTGCACCTCCAACGCCTGCAGGAAATTGCTGGAATCTGCGAAACCCGAATCAAACGGATGGCAATGATGCATGGAACATGACTCAGTAACCCGTGAATGGGATCTGTTCGATGTATGTCAGTCGTTCTTGCAATGTGCAAAGATCGGGTTGCGGGCAGCCTTGCCTCATTCTCGAAACTCAAGGAGTCCTTCCAATTCATGCAACAAAAGATGCGGCACGTGAAGGCAAGAGTTGTGTCCTCTCGATAGACTGAGACAAAGCTTTTCTTCGACAAGCTGGCTTGCATAAGCAACTCAGTCCAGACTTAAGACATGAGTCCTCGCTGCGCCGAATTCTTAACAGCTTTGTACAAAATCCGTACATTTGCAAAAGCTGCTTGCTTCTGCAAAGAAACACATTGTATATTTGTGAAGATTTCAGCTGGTCAAGCCTGGCAGCCGCTAAATCAACACAATCAACGAGTCATGAGAGCAACATGCACACCTCCTGGCGCTCCAATAGCGCGCCAAATCCTGGCTGTCCTGCACACGAAGCCGCTGATCTAATGCAATCAGATGCCCGGGCATGATGATGGATGCTGGTCATTCGTCAAATGATGGACGACCCGAGTGAAGCGCAATTCATACCAGCACTAGCAAACACAAAAGGTTGTTCAATAGTTCACGTAGAATTTGGCAACTGAAGTAAAGACGCCCTGCAGCAGCGAGGTGAGGCTTAAAAACACATGGAAATTCAAGAGGATTAATGAACAAAAACGTACAACAAAGCATCAAAAGCAAAGAGGTCGAAATGATTCAGAATCAACTCAGGCCTTTGTATGTCTGCTTTCTCGCTGAACAGTCCCACAGGGTATGTTGCCGCACTTTCTGTGATAGTGGTCAGCTTGGCAGCCTCAAGTGTGGGTTTAGGATGGAGTCGCTCTAACGTCAAGCTGATCTTTCGTGAAATATCCATATTTTGGGCTAAGTGGTATGCAAATTAGCTGGACCACTGTGTAGACACGGCCGTGGGGAATTCCGCTGTGTGTTTTTGTTTGTTACAAAAATCAGACTATGTTGGGGCGCTGTGCCATGTTGACAGCTTGGTCTGGGGGATGGGGAAACCGGGGGGGGTGGTAATTACGTACGCGTTCCAAGTGTCATTATCGAGACGATGCGCTCGTCTCAGTGATGATGTTTGTGCTGTCTTTTTATTTTTTCGCGCCTCCAGTTCTGCATATGTTGCGTGACTCTGGTTCGTTGTGTATGTTTGCGTTTGTCTGGTTGTTGTTTGGATCTATCTTCCCGCCCTTGACTTCGTGACTGATGCTGCATCAGCGCTGAATACCTAGACCAGCTTTGGGGCTTGCACTGTCAATGGCGCTGCGATCCAGATTCTATGTCGTCAGCTGTCTTGGACACTGTTCAGCATCCCCGCAGCTGCCGGTTGTCTTGTGACGCGCTGGAGCTCTCGTCTTGCTTTTTGTGGGCGTCTTGGCATGCACTGTGGGTCGAGGTCATGTGGGCCGCATGTATCCGGCTGTCGGCTTGTGTTTTTTCCCTTTCTCCTCTCTTGCTACGTGCCGTTTGCTGTCAGCCTTCTCCAGTCTTAGCGCCTGCCCTTGCCCCCGCCGTGGAATTCGCGACAGTGGAGCCAGCCGCTGTGGCCGCCGTGGATCTTGGGTCAACTGATGGCTTTTTTTCACCGGCCTCTCAGCCCTTGGCGAGATGACGCTAGCCCCTGCTCGAAACGCTACAAGGTCTGGCAAGGGCGCCAATGCTCTGCTGTTTCTTCTGCTGTCGAATAAGTTCCGCCAAAGCCTCAAAGATCTGCGCACAAAAACCGTCTCTTGCAAATTGTGCCTGTGACGCAGCAGCGCGGCAAAACGCATTGTAAACAAAGGCCGAGCTCTGACCCTGCTGCAGAGAACGCTTCGAAAAGGGACAGCCGTTTTCACTCCGTGTACCAAGTAGTTTGCGACTGTGCCAGGAACCAAGAGAACTGCCTCATGGTAACCTCTTGACACACACAATCCCAGCCACCGCCGAAAGGACAAGGATGCTGCCAACAACAAGGAAGCACCATAAACGCCGAGTCATTTGCCATTAACTTGCCACAGACACGTCAGAACCAGCATCAACAAAAAATCCTCAAGTATTGGTAACATTCTCAAGAAAAACAATCAAACAATAAGAAGGCCACCACCAGCGAATGTATCTCACAATACCCTGGCCTTCCAGTGAACCTCAAGGCAGAAAGTGCACGGTCCATAACAGCTTCATGTGCATGCCAAGCGAAGTGTAAACTTAATATGTTTATTTATGGTCTCGATTCTACTGCATGCAGGCTTAGCATGGCAAAGGGCCACTACGTTCCATGTGGCACAGCAGGCTATGATCCAACCGGCCATGTTTTTTGCGACTCAAGCTCCTGTCAGCGCTTCCAGTAATGATCTTTGCGCCGTCTGGAGACCAGCACAATGACCGAATGGCAGACAGGTGACCTGCACCGAGTAAAAGGATAAGGATGGGTTCGCGGTGTGCTTGCCAACAGCCTTTGAACTCGACTGGAGGCTCTTCCCACTTTGTGGGATCTCTGCTGCTGCTTGTCCACACCTCAATGTCACACATGATGCAATGTGAGTCATGATCAAACCCTAGTGGTAGAATGGTCTACACAAAACCACGTAAAGAAGTAACACGGCAGCCGCACCCATTTATGGTTGGGATTCTCTCTTCCTAGCCTGCTTCTACCCGGGTTTTGATTGTGGCTTTAGTCGTGGTTGCGGCATTGCGGATATTGTTTGGCTTTGGCTTTTGGCTGTGACTTTAGCCTTTCGCTCTCTTTTTGATGTTGCTGTTACTTATGCAGCTGCTTATGTCATAGTTTTCATCCTCCCAGCTGCTATCACTGCTGTGATCTGTCTCGTTGTGAATGCGGCCATTGTTGCTGGTGTGGTGGATACAAACACACTCTCGTCGTCGTCGTCTTTTCTCGATTACCAGCATGCTAGCAGCAAAAGTTGCAAGGTCAGGGTGGCACTTTGGCGCTTTTTCTATAGATCGTTGCCCATGAGCTGCAAATCCATCCTGGCGAGAACTGTACGCTGTCGAGGCTGCTGTTCAGCTAATCAGCATTGCAGAGCACCTGCTTGAAAATTGGTGTGGCCAAGCTTCAAGAAAGAAAAAGCACAGTATCTAACACCTCTTTGGGCGATGCATGTCGAACTGACGCATCTACCGACGCCACATCACACCTATTTTGTTTTTGATACCAACTCAGGCGATACGAGTTTCACTTCAAAGGCTCGCACTTCATCGTCAGCCTCCCAGTCATCAAAGCCCTCAACGCTGAGTCCACACTCATTGCCCTCATCGATCTCTTGAACTTGCTCTTTGAAGCGGCGAATAGATTGAACCTTCCCTTCCCCAATCTTGCGTCCTTTCCGGTACGCATGCACCCTGTTGCCTACTGCAAACTGGCCTTCCACGATCTCCGAGCCTGCAACTTTGCCATCTCGACCGTCAAATACAGCCTTGACTTTTGCCATGCCCTTTTCGACCAGCTTTTCTTCCTGCTCTAAGTCGCTCTCCAAAGCCGCAACGACGGCATCCTGAACAGTGAATTCCCGAAAAGCTTGCACACCAAAAGCTCAAAAGCTCCAAAGGTTGCTCATTTCAGACGTGATGCGTAGAGCTCATAGATCACCTTGAAGTTCTGGATCTTGATGCTGCACTCCCTCGCCTTTCTCTCAGCGGAAGGAGACACTTGGGTGTTGAAGCCCAGGATCATCACACGCTGACCTTCTGGGCATGTGGCTGCAAGCTCCACGTCAGAGTCTGTGATTGGCCCGGGTGCCGTCAGAACCCACCTCAAGTTCACATACTTCGAATCCTTCACGTCCGAGAACATGTGTTGGACCTTGGCCCGAAGAGCCTTAAAAGAAAACGATGGATCCTTACAACAGTTTTTTGCTTCTGTGCCGAGTCACTGCAGCAATGCTTCCTTGAGCATCAGTCTTGAGGATCAGTGCCAAGCGCATTGTTTGTTCGCTGTCTGTGTGTAAGCCCGCAAAGCCGACTTTTCCTCGTGCAGTCTCTTTGGCACGTCTCTCTGCCACCGCTCGAGCTTCTTGGGCGGTAGGATACACTTCAAACTGGTCTCCTGCGCGAGGGGAGTCCTGGAACCCCGTCACCTGCACTGCGATGGATGGCCCCGCGTCCAACACCTCCTTGCCAGCCTCGTTCTGCATCAGCCGAACCTTGCAGAGCTTCGTGCCGGAAACCGCGTAGTCGCACTTGTGCAGCGTCCCACGCTGCACCAACAAGGTGGCTAGGCAGCCTCTAGAAGCATCGAAGGTTGACTCCAATACAACCCCTGCGCCAGGGCCATCCTTCACCGCCTTGAATTCTGAAACCTCAGCAGTGAGATTCAAAATCTCCAGCAGATCATCCAGATTGATGTTTTGCTTGGCACTCACTTCAACCATCGGAACATCTCCACCCCAATCTTCTGCCAGAAGACCTTCCTCGGATAAGTTGCTCCTTCGAGTTTGGCATTGAAAACAAGTTGCACTCCCCTAAGGCACGAAAAAGCATAGCTTGCTCAAAATAAAGTTGCACTCTGAAAAAAATGGGTTGGCTAGACAAAGCGTCGCTAAGCCGCCGCAAAAACTCTCAACTCTCACCATCACTTTCCATGACACCTGTCCTCGTCTTTTGAGGATCAGCATCGGGCTTGTCGATCTTGTTGATAGCTACTATGATGGGCACTTCTGCTGCTTTGGCATGTGCAATCGCTTCTTTAGTTTGGGGCATTACGCCATCATCTGCAGCAACGACCAACACCGCAATGTCTGTGACTTGCGCCCCTCTTGCTCTCATCGCTGTAAAGGCTTCATGACCAGGAGTATCAATAAACGTAATTTGCTGGTCATCAAGCTCGACTGTGTAAGCACCTATTCTTTGCGTAATACCGCCGGCCTCTGTCGCAGCTACGCTTCGCTTTCGCAAAGTGTCCAACAGAGTCGTTTTCCCATGATCAACGTGCCCCATAACTGTGACCACTGGAGGACGAGCTTTCAAGTCTCCCTCCTGCTCCGCTAGGAAACCTCTGTCCCCAGCAGTAGTTGTCTTCTCATCATCAAAGATACACTCCAATTCATATTTCTCACAAACCTCGGCAATCAGCTCCTTCTCCAGGAAATCGTTGATCTTGAGCGGCTTCCCTCTTTCTGCGAAAAAGTAGGTAATGATTCCAGCCACCGGCTTCCTGATCCTTGGTGGAACGAGTTGACCCTGTTTTACCAAAAAGTCAATCCCAGCGCAAGAGCCATCCGCTGTCGTAGTTCATCACAGGGTCACACGGATTTCACTGCAACATACTGCATTGCTGAATGCTAGCAAAGCTGCTTCTCTGCAAGCTCGCCAACTGTCATGCCCTCTGCAGGCATGATCAAATCATCAAGGGTCATCTCCTCTTCTTCTTGCTGTCTCTTACCCGGTTTCCTGCAACGAAGCTGTGATGCAGCAATGCGGTGACCGTGGGCATTCTCAAAAGCACATACAAATATACAAAAAAAATGCTCACTCTGCTTTGTCCTCTTGGGTCTGGCAAACCGGCAGCTCGCTCTGAGTCGGCTGCCGAAGCTTCCGCATACCAGACCAACTACCATTGCAGTTCCAGCTCTTGTCCAGCCGGATCCAGCAACATGAATGCTGCTGCATCTGCGTGGCCGCTCCAGGTGCAGAGCAATGTGACTGCGTAGAGGGGGAAGTTCAAGAGCCATGGCGCATGGCTCTCCTTTGAAGAAGCAATGACGGCTGAGTGAGGTCAAGAATGGAGAAAACGCGAAAAGCGTGCATCTCTGCAGCCAAAGCTGTAAGAACCCGAGAGCTGCGCTCGCAGAATTGCATCTGCCTCAGCAAGGCTGCGGCTGTAGCGAATGCAGCGACAGCCAGGAGGAAAAAAGCGGGGCCCAGGCGCCAGCCGTAGCTAGCCGAGTGCTGTCCGGTGACCAAGCCACTGCTTGGACTCCGGCAGGACTGTGTGCCCTGCCAGCAACATAGGACACTCGGACACACTTCACTTGTAACAAAAATCACAACAGTTCTGAAGCTATGACCTTTGTCACTGGCAGTGACATTGCCGACATTGTACTGAAGTCAAGCCACGCCTAAGCGTCGCCAGTTCCTTCCATCGATCACAATGCCAAATGCGTGCGGTCGCATCTTTGCCTCAGAGTCAAGCCACACTGCGTATGGCCGCAAATTGTGCAATTGCCACGAAAGGTGAACAAGACACAAAGAATTGGCCCAGGCAACTCTAATCAGTTTAAGTTTGGCGCTTCCGCTTGCTAGCATTGTGCCATCATGCGCCCAATCCAACGACCTGTTTTCTCCACTCTGCGCAAACGAACATGGACTGAAGTTTGCGAATGACCACCCGCCTGATGCCTCCAGTATGCCCTGACAATGTCGCAAACACCTGCGGAACGTATGACTTGATCTAGGGAGCTTCCCATGCCACAAGTAGCCCGGTAAAACATGGTGAAACATACTAAAATCGAGGAACAATCAAGCAAGCCACTAAGCAAACTGGAGTAAACGGAAAGTCCAAAACAGAAAGCAAACACACTAAAACTACTCTCGTCTGCCTCAAACGCTCGTCGGTCGTGCGGAGCTGAGGAAGCTCGCCACAGGACGATGGTTGAATCTGCCAGTCCAGCAGCAACCACGACCCGAGCCTCCAATCCAAACACCATGGGCATGCACAACCAGCAAAACAACACAAAACAGGAAAACGTTGAGCAAAACATCTTGCAAAACCAAGCTTTGTTAAAAACTGAATCCCAAGAAGAACGAATTCCTGATTGGCCTGTCCAATGAGTTCTGCCTGAAATTGTGCCCATGCCTTGTCCGGGCGCCATGCAACTGCACGGACCTCAACTCAGTACTCTGCAATACACAGACACACACACACACACACACACACACATTCCAAGCGATTCTCTCTGGGCCGCTAGCCGAATCCGAGTGTCCAGGCAAGACGGCAAACTGCTCCCAGCGCAGCGGGTCCGTTCTTGATGCCTACATGCCACCGTCAAACCACAAGATGCAACTGCTCGGTCAGTGCCTTCCAAATCCGTGCGGTCTTGTCGTCGCCTCCTGTCAACACCTTCGCGAGAGAAAGGGCGACTGCTTGCAGAACAGAGGAACTGAGCATCAGTCTTTACGTCCACAAGGAGACCAGGAGACTGCTCGCAGAATATCAGTATGCCCGCAAAGGATGCCATTTGCCTGCAACGCAGGGAACGCACTGGAAATGACTTGTCCGACGAAGCGGCATGTGCGCCTCCCATGTGCGGTACTCCGAGCCCGAAACCAGATATACCTATCACAACAAGAACGTAAGCAAAGCATAGCAAGGCTCCCGAAAAGTGCATTGGCTCACACGCGCATCCTTGTCCATGCCAGCTGCCTTCGCTGGCAAAATGAAAGGCGAAGAGGACAAACACTCTCTGAAGAATGCAAATCGTCTGTCATTGAAGAGAAGGATGGCAAAGGCCGGAGTTTATCTTCTCAGGCATGCGCCACTAATCGTGAACAGTCTGGAGACCAGGCAAGGGCCCGAAACCCGTCCTTGGACCTTAAGTGTATGAAAGCTAGAATACTCATGTGCAGGCGACAGCACTGCTTTCCCCCGATCTGCAAAGGCTATGGCCCAGCTCTCAACGTCTTCACTGCCTGGCAAATTGGGCCAAATGGCCCTTGCATGTCTTGGTATGGATTGAGAAGGGAGCCTTCCAATGTGAAGGCACCACGTTGGACGCCTTCCACACACAGGCCTCAAACCGGTGAAAAGCGAATCACAAAGCACCGAAACAGAACCAAGGCCGATGCAGTGTGTTCGGCACTACCTGACTTCTCAAAGCACACACAAAACACGGGCCACAAAAAAAGACTGAATGCTGCACACATGTGACTGAATGCTGTTTGTACGTAAGTTCTCAACCTGTGACGATCCGTTCACTGTCAGGTGACCATGCGACACCATTCACCCAACTCCTCAGCGCAATTGCACTGAATGCCTCGTGACATCAAATGCGGCAATTTCCATTCAGTGCTGAAGCAGCCGCGAATGACTTCTCAATGTTGCCTCCGCCTTCAAATGCTAAGAAGCAAGCAGCGATCATCTTGACTGCATTACAAATTGCAGAAAGCTCTCTTGTGCCCACGAAGCCTGGTAAGGCAACAAAGCTTCCCCTGCTTCCTGCGTGCGAAACCAAACTGCCTGCAAGGGTCGAATGCGCAAAAAGAACTGTGACCAGGGATGAACAAAACTCAAGAGTATTCAGAAAGGCAATTCTTGCTCACCGAGCTTCATTGCTAATCATTGTTCAAGCGTCGATGATTGTCCGCATATTTAAGTGTTCACGGGTGACACTCGCTGCTCGAAGCAGCTTTCATGTTAGCCAGTTCCTATGCTGGGCAGAGCTTTTGTAACTTTGGACCGAAGGCCTCTTGGATAGGCAACATGCGCACTTTCATGAACCCCCTATCAGTCAGCGTGCTCAACATCATGCCCCGCATCATCGGTACTCTGGCGGGTGTGTTGCACATGTGCCTGAGACTTGGATAGAGTATGATTTGCGGCGCGCGATCTCTGAAACTTGTCAGGCGCTAGAATTTCACATGAAACGAAAAAATACTACACCTCTTGTTTGCCTGTCCACTTGTTGATGTCTAACTACGTTGAAGTAGCGATCTGCACCAGAAGCAGTGGCGTTGCTCAAAATACTGTTATTGACTTTGTCATGCCGGGCCAAAAAAGGATTGTTTTGGAGCCCCCAGTGTGCTTGAACCTGCCGCATGACCTGCGCCTGTCATTTGCCCTTGGGCTGCTGCATCCAAAGCAACCTTGCTTGGGTAGTTTTTGCTCTGCCTCGATAGCAAGCGCAGCAAGCTAAGTACTTGGAAAGAAAGACCGAAACAACGGAAACACTCCTGCTCATCCTCCAACTCATCAACAGGAGAAGGTGCTTCAGCAGAAAAGATCGTCCTCAAACATCACACACCGGAATCATCGCAATGCATGCTAAATGAAGTTGCAACACTTTGCTGAGCGCATCACGGAGAAGCAATAGGGCCTCAAGCGGCTTTCGGCCGAAGCACCCTTTCTGGTTGCATCCATCTAGGCTAGGAACTCTCCAGAGTGGCATCCTGCCAACAGACGACGCAGTTCAGCAAACTTCAAATTGAATTGAGCCCCATTCACACAGCCCTTACCCGTCAGCAACCAAGTTCCTCCATGTCCATTTGTTCAAATGGATCATGAGTTGGAAAGTCACCTGCAAGTTCTGCACATCCCGCGAATGGCCTGGGAAGGCTGGCAAGAATAATAAAAACCGCACCGCAGTCTGTGAAGGACAGATCATCTGATTGAATTTCATTTGGATGCCATCTCTGTCGACATGAAGGGAACTCCAAAACGGGCAGGTTGCTTGCTTCAGCAGTGCATTTTGTTCAGCTCGCCACATGTTTGCCATCAGCACATGCAAAGCATTGCCTCAAGCAATGCCTTAGGTCTGCACCCCAGGCGCAACTTCTCTCTGCCCTGCATCCACAAATGGGATGCAGCGTGCATGCGAACAGCTGCTGCCTCAGGACTTGGAGATCGCCTCCTTCTTGGAGAACATGACCGCGCCTCGAAACAGAAAACTCAATGGCTGCTTTTTAATGGGACGATACAAGCCTTGGATGGATCAGCCTGGCGGAAAACGCGCAGGCTGAACAATATGAACAAATCTGGCAACAAGTCACATAACCGCTCAGCACCTCTGCGTGTTTCAGAGCCGCCACAAGATCTGCAAACTCCGAAAGTGGCACTTCTACCTCAAAACTGGCATCATGGAACCCCCCCCCCCCCCGCCCCCGGAACCCCCGTTAAGGCTGAAGAAAGCGGTTGTTCCCAAGAACAATTCTGACGGCCGGTCCTTACCCAGAAAACATGCAGACAATTTCAAGCTTCAACTACCAACGACGTGAATACGCATTGCAAGAGCCCCGCTGAAAGGTTCAACGCCACATTGTTGATGCCAGAACCTTAGGCACGATCTTCAGATCTCTGATCCATCTTGATTTTGCCTGTTGGCTGAGGCAACCGCCACGAGATGGTCGGCCTTGCTGAATCAAACCTTGCACAAAGCATTTCAGAATCCAAATGGCGAGCTAACTTGAGCACGCTGCTTATCCTGGTAGCTTTGCATGCTAGCGTCACTGCCATGCGATGCTGCTATTACTTTTGCCAGAGCATACGTTTCGTGTTACTTTGTTGATGGCATTGTACAAACACTAACGACTGAAACTGCGTAGCTGCAAAAGACTCACTCAACCTAGGTGTTTATCTGTGATCATTCGATCGAAAGGTCGTGTCTTCATCCAGCAAGTGCATATCTGCTCAAACTTGAACATCGATGCAGTTCACGAACCACATCACGCGCAAAATGATGCAAGGCGTTCAATCATGCTGGCAGGCACTTCAAAGCAAAGCTGCAACTGTCCTGGCGCAACCGCTGTTCCAACGCATCGCACTGCTGTCGAAGCTGATCCTCCTGGCGCTCTTTGACTTTTTGGACTTCCAAGCTGACCGGCAAGTGCCATTGCGTATCAATTCGAGCCTCTTCGTTGCTGAACTGAACCAGATCCTCGCAAACCATGCCTGGCAAAACAGAGCATATTGCACTGAGCCTACTTGTGCCAGAAAGTGCACACACAGCAAGTTATGTGC